CATTCGATTCGTCTCATTGAGACGAATCGAATGGTACCAAAATCGCTCGATTCTGATCACTAGATCACGTGATATTGGCCGTAGAAGTTACCTGCGTCATAATACCCCTCTTTACCTTATAGTTTTCTACGTATAAAGTGAATACGTAAATATATAAATATTGTAAAAAGTGATAATCAAAAATCTTTTCTAACAGATCTCTTACGTACAATTTGTTCAAGTTACAATTCTACGTGCCACGTAGAATAGATTTTTATTTCTTTAATAGTTAATAGTTGTGAATGCGTCGGCTTCCCTTTTTAAAGCTGGTAAAAGTTCTCTTATAAAGAATTCTTGTAATAATTTGGCGGATTTACGAAGCTTGGTGTTCCTAGTTGCGCAAAGTTGTTCAGCTTCTCTTTTGAGAGTTGGTCACAGTAAGAAGAATATTCTTCGTATTTAGGGATTGGACCCCGGGTAGCTATGTGATTACCTGAAATACAATGTACCTTTATTAGTGTTGGGATCCGGATGTCAATCCGGATAGTTATCCGCGCTCAAAAACAGCTACCCGAATATCGGTTGACAAATATCCGTGCTCAAAAAGGCCATCCAGATATCCGTAAATATTACCTATACCCGGATAATAGCCAATTAGAATGCGTTGACCAATGATTTATTCTTATTACGGTAAATTAGAAGGTCCATATAATCATCCGGATATTAATCGGATGACCATCCGGAATATTTTTGTTATCCGGATTCACCATCTGTGAGTAAAATTTGACATCCGAATATCTGTTCCATCCACTATCCGGATGTTTAACCAAACGGATCCCGACACTAACCTTTATTAACCAATCAAAATAAATTAGCCAATCAGAATTGATTGTAATTTCAAAATTTGGCGCTTTTTTTAAAAAATTTTAAACAGCCAAATTTGGCCAATCTGGATATTCTGGCGCGGGCGGGTAATTTGGCGCACTTAGGTTTTTCAGCTATATCCCGTCAAACAGCACTCAGAATCAAATTATATTAGTACCTTTCGATTCGTCTCATTGAGACGATTCAAATTATATAAAAATCGCATGGTTCTAATTACTGAACTACAAAATGAAGGTTCATGTGTTTAATTTTTCTTTTAATTTTACTGATTTCCTCATTTGGACAATATTTGGAGGGAAGAATACAGTACGTATAATATGTACACTACGAAATACATAGTGTGTCAACCCGAAAAAACATAGCAGTTTTTTAATAGACTAATTCAATAT